TTTATTTCGATTTATTTCGATTTATTTCGATTTATTTCGATTTATTTCGATTTATTTCGATTTATTTCGATTTATTTCGATTTATTTCGATTTATTTTGATTTATTTCGATTTATTTCGATTTATTTAGATTTACTTCGATTTATTTCGATTTATTTCGATTTATTTCGATTTATTTCGATTTATTTCGATTTATTTCGATTTATTTCGATTTATTTCGATTTATTTCGATTTATTTCGATTTATTTCGATTTATTTCGATTTATTTCGATTTATTTCGATTTATTTCGATTTATTTCGATTTATTTCGATTTATTTCGATTTATTTCGATTTATTTCGATTTATTTCGATTTATTTCGATTTATTTCGATTTATTTCGATTTATTTCGATTTATTTCGATTTATTTCGATTTATTTCGATTTATTTCGATTTATTTCGATTTATTTCGATTTATTTCGATTTATTTCGATTTATTTCGATTTATTTCGATTTTTTTTTATTTATTTCGATTTATTTCGATTTATTTTGATTTATTTCGATTTATTTCGATTTATTTCGATTTTTATTTCGATTTTTATTTCGATTTTTATTTCGATTTTTATTTCGATTTTTATTTCGATTTTTATTTCGATTTTTATTTCGATTTTTATTTCGATTTTTATTTCGATTTTTATTTCGATTTTTATTTCGATTTTTATTTCGATTTTTATTTCGATTTTTATTTCGATTTTTATTTCGATTTTTATTTCGATTTTTATTTCGATTTTTATTTCGATTTTTATTTCGATTTATTTAGATTTATTTCGATTTATTTCGATTTATTTCGATTTATTTCGATTTATTTCGATTGATTTCGATTGATTTCGATTTATTTCGATTTATTTCGATTTATTTCGATTTATTTCGATTTATTTCGATTTATTTCGATTTATTTCGATTTATTTCGATTTATTTCGATTTATTTCGATTTATTTCGATTTATTTCGATTTATTTCGATTTATTTCGATTTATTTCGATTTATTTCGATTTATTTCGATTTATTTCGATTTATTTCGATTTATTTCGATTTATTTCGATTTATTTCGATTTATTTCGATTTATTTCGATTTATTTCGATTTATTTCGATTTATTTCGATTTATTTCGATTTATTTCGATTTATTTCGATTTATTTCGATTTATTTCGATTTATTTCGATTTATTTCGATTTATTTCGATTTATTTCGATTTATTTCGATTTATTTCGATTTATTTCGATTTATTTCGATTTATTTCGATTTATTTCGATTTATTTCGATTTATTTCGATTTATTTCGATTTATTTCGATTTATTTCGATTTATTTCGATTTATTTCGATTTATTTCGATTTATTTCGATTTATTTCGATTTATTTTGATTTATTTCGATTTATTTTGATTTATTTCGATTTATTTCGATTTATTTAGATTTACTTCGATTTATTTCGATTTATTTCGATTTATTTCGATTTATTTCGATTTATTTCGATTTATTTCGATTTATTTCGATTTATTTCGATTTATTTCGATTTATTTCGATTTATTTCGATTTATTTCGATTTATTTCGATTTATTTCGATTTATTTCGATTTATTTCGATTTATTTCGATTTATTTCGATTTATTTCGATTTATTTCGATTTATTTCGATTTATTTCGATTTATTTCGATTTATTTCGATTTATTTCGATTTATTTCGATTTATTTCGATTTATTTCGATTTATTTCGATTTATTTCGATTTATTTCGATTTATTTCGATTTATTTCGATTTATTTCGATTTATTTCGATTTATTTCGATTTATTTCGATTTATTTCGATTTTTTTTTATTTATTTCGATTTATTTCGATTTATTTAGATTTATTTCGATTTATTTCGATTTATTTCGATTTATTTCGATTTTTATTTCGATTTTTATTTCGATTTTTATTTCGATTTTTATTTCGATTTTTATTTCGATTTTTATTTCGATTTTTATTTCGATTTTTATTTCGATTTTTATTTCGATTTTTATTTCGATTTTTATTTCGATTTTTATTTCGATTTTTATTTCGATTTTTATTTCGATTTTTATTTCGATTTTTATTTCGATTTTTATTTCGATTTTTATTTCGATTTTTATTTCGATTTTTATTTCGATTTTTATTTCGATTTTTATTTCGATTTTTATTTCGATTTTTATTTCGATTTTTATTTCGATTTTTATTTCGATTTTTATTTCGATTTTTATTTCGATTTTTATTTCGATTTATTTAGATTTATTTCGATTTATTTCGATTTATTTCGATTTATTTCGATTGATTTCGATTGATTTCGATTTATTTCGATTTATTTCGATTTATTTCGATTTATTTCGATTTATTTCGATTTATTTCGATTTATTTCGATTTATTTCGATTTATTTCGATTTATTTCGATTTATTTCGATTTATTTCGATTTATTTCGATTTATTTCGATTTATTTCGATTTATTTCGATTTATTTCGATTTATTTCGATTTATTTCGATTTATTTCGATTTATTTCTATTTATTTCGATTTATTTCGATTTATTTCAATCTATTTCGATTTATTTCGATTTATTTCGATTTATTTCGATTTATTTCGATTTATTTCGATTTATTTCGATTTATTTCGATTTATTTCGATTTATTTCGATTTATTTCGATTTATTTCGATTTATTTCGATTTATTTCGATTTATTTCGATTTATTTCGATTTATTTCGATTTATTTCGATTTATTTCGATTTATTTCGATTTATTTCGATTTATTTCGATTTATTTCGATTTATTTCGATTTATTTCGATTTATTTCGATTTATTTCGATTTATTTCGATTTATTTCGATTTATTTCGATTTATTTCGATTTATTTCGATTTATTTCGATTTATTTCGATTTATTTCGATTTATTTCGATTTATTTCGATTTATTTCGATTTATTTCGATTTATTTCGATTGATTTCGATTTTTTATTTATTTTTATTTATTTTTATTTATTTTTATTTATTTTTATTTATTTCTATTTATTTTTATTTATTTTTATTTATTTTTATTTATTTTTATTTATTTTTATTTATTTTTATTTATTTTTATTTATTTTTATTTATTTTTATTTATTTTTATTTATTTTTATTTATTTTTATTTATTTTTATTTATTTTTATTTATTTTTATTTATTTTTATTTATTTTTATTTATTTTTATTTATTTTTATTTATTTTTATTTATTTTTATTTATTTTTATTTATTTTTATTTATTTTTATTTATTTTTATTTATTTTTATTTATTTTTATTTATTTTTAGTTATTTTTAGTTATTTTTATTTATTTTTATTTATTTTTATTTATTTTTATTTATTTTTATTTATTTTTATTTATTTTTATTTATTTTTATTTATTTTTATTTATTTTTATTTATTTTTATTTATTTTTATTTATTTTTATTTATTTTTATTTATTTTTATTTATTTTTATTTATTTTTATTTATTTTTATTTATTTTTATTTATTTTTATTTATTTTTATTTATTTTTATTTATTTTTATTTATTTTTATTTATTTTTATTTATTTTTATTTATTTTTATTTATTTTTATTTATTTTTATTTATTTTTATTTATTTTTATTTATTTTTATTTATTTTTATTTATTTTTATTTATTTTTATTTATTTTTATTTATTTTTATTTATTTTTATTTATTTTTATTTATTTTTATTTATTTTTATTTATTTTTATTTATTTTTATTTATTTTTATTTATTTTTATTTATTTTTATTTATTTTTATTTATTTTTATTTATTTTTATTTATTTTTATTTATTTTTATTTATTTTTATTTATTTATTATTTATTTATTTATTTTTATTTATTTTTATTTATTTTTATTTATTTTTATTTATTTTTATTTATTTTTATTTATTTTTATTTATTTTTATTTATTTTTATTTATTTTTATTTATTTTTATTTATTTTTATTTATTTTTATTTATTTTTATTTATTTTTATTTATTTTTATTTATTTTTATTTATTTTTATTTATTTTTATTTATTTTTATTTATTTTTATTTATTTTTATTTATTTTTATTTATTTTTATTTATTTTTATTTATTTTTATTTATTTTTATTTATTTTTATTTATTTTTATTTATTTTTATTTATTTTTATTTATTTTTATTTATTTTTATTTATTTTTATTTATTTTTATTTATTTTTATTTATTTTTATTTATTTTTATTTATTTTTATTTATTTTTATTTATTTTTATTTATTTTTATTTATTTTTATTTATTTTTATTTATTTTTATTTATTTTTATTTATTTTTATTTATTTTTATTTATTTTTATTTATTTTTATTTATTTTTATTTATTTTTATTTATTTTTATTTATTTTTATTTATTTTTATTTATTTTTATTTATTTTTATTTATTTTTATTTATTTTTATTTATTTTTATTTATTTTTATTTATTTTTATTTATTTTTATTTATTTTTATTTATTTTTATTTATTTTTATTTATTTTTATTTATTTTTATTTATTTTTATTTATTTTTATTTATTTTTATTTATTTTTATTTATTTTTATTTATTTTTATTTATTTTTATTTATTTTTATTTATTTTTATTTATTTTTATTTATTTTTATTTATTTTTATTTATTTTTATTTATTTTTATTTATTTTTATTTATTTTTATTTATTTTTATTTATTTTTATTTATTTTTATTTATTTTTATTTATTTTTATTTATTTTTATTTATTTTTATTTATTTTTATTTATTTTTATTTATTTTTATTTATTTTTATTTATTTTTATTTATTTTTATTTATTTTTATTTATTTTTATTTATTTTTATTTATTTTTATTTATTTATTTTTATTTATTGAGGTCATCTTCATCAGACAACCATTTTAACTGTCAAAAGTCCACGTGGATTGGATAGCCTAGTTTTAAACTCTTTATTTTTTAATTATTCTACTTACTGTTTGCCATCTCTATTGCAGAATCTTTGTAATTTGACTCGATGTGATTTTGTAACATTTTGGATACGCTTTTTTTTCGTCCCAACGGTTTATTAGCTCCATTTGGAGTTAATAACTTTTCTTCTTCGGGTTTTGGAGTTGTAGAAATTGCAATGTTGTTAGCTTTATCGTCTTCAATAGGCTTCTTTTTCTCATTTTCGACAGGAGCGTGATCAGGTTCCCATTTTTTACAGCATAAAATTGGCTGAAAAAGTTTTATATAAAAACCCAATAAGTTCATTTTTTCTATTCTACCTTGAAGAACATAGCTCCAATTACCCCCGTATAACTCATAAGTCCTAATATTAATGTTGTACCGCTATATTCATACTTTCTTAATAACATTCCAATAAAAATGGGCATGGTCATTTGTCCAATTGCTGTTCCTGCCATTGAAATACCCACGGCTGTACTTTTCTTTTCGGTAAAATACTCATTTATGACCAAAAACGTTCCTGACGCCAATAAACCCAGACCAAAACCTGTAAAAAAAAAATAAAATGAAATAGTACTTCAAGTAATGATTATTAAAATGCCACTAATAGAACTCATACCGTAAATAGTTAGAGGTTGATGAAAAAAAGAAGATTTTGACGTTATTTTAATCATAGACCTTCATTAAAGCCCAATGAACTGGAGTGGGGTAGAATGCTTGTCAATAGACTTGATGTGCGACTCTATGGGCGAAGATAGGTTATTTTTCATCTCACTCGGGAGTATTTAAAATAACCATTTTCTATTTCACATTGTTATTGTCTGATCCACCAGCTTGTGGATTGAACAATAACAATGTGAAACAGAAAATGGTTATTATAAATAGTCCCGAGTGAGATGAACAATAAAAATGGCTGCGCCCATCGAGTCGCACCTTGTTCTAATAGTACAACATGTACATTGGCATTCTACTCCCCTCCAGTTCATTGTTAAGGCCAAGTTCAATGACAAGTGACGGCGACTTTTTTATCACAATAAATACAGCTCTGAACGATAATATTTTAAAAAACTGTTCTCATAAATGGGTTCAAAAAACTGTAAAAAATGATGGAAAGTCTATGGTTTGTTTTACTTTTAATGCATAATATTTTAATAAGTGTTATTTAACAAATATTTAAAAGTTATATGCACTTTCCATCATTTTTTATAGTATTTAGAAGTTAAAACGCAACATACATTCTTTTATTTTTGCCTAATTATTTCAGGATTCTTGTGATAAGATTTAAAAATGTAGGGCCCATAAGATGCTGCCATCTGAACAGACGGAATAGACACTAAAAATTGAAAAATTGCAACATCGCTCCCTATGCAGACGAATGTAAAATGGCTTAGCCCAATTTGACCATGTTTATGGGTGAGGGGCGAGGTGGTGTGCGGGGAAAGGTTGCAAGTAAATAAATTATTCTATAAATGCTATTTTCTGTTTGGAACACAACACATGTTTGTTTTGAAAGTTTGACGATTATGGTTTGACGTGTCATTTCAATTTAATGGACTTTAATAATTTAAAAGATGCAATGTACTTATATTATTTATATATATTATTGTAGATCCAGGTAAGTTTTCGGTTTTTATTTTATTTATTTGGCTAGTTTGCTAATATCACAATATTCAATTTTAGTAAAAAATAATGTAATAATATAACAATTATTTTAATAACATTCTAATAAATAGGAAATGTAATTTAACTGCATTTGTTTTGATATAGTATATTACATTACGAGTGTGGAAAGTGACATTTTTCACACGAGTGGGAAATATTGTCGCACGAGGCGTAAGCCGAGTGCGACTATCACACGAGTGTGGAAAATCACTTTTCACACAAGTGATGTACAATATTTTTCCTACGACCACAAAATAATTTCATCAAAAAATGTAAAACCAGATTATTATTATAATTAAAATGTATTTAAAAAAATAATCAACAATAATCGTATTTATTAAATTTTCATAATTTCTAAACAAATAAAAAAAAATAAAAAATAAAAAAAAAATAAAAAAAAAATTCTGGCACAGCCAGGATTCGATCGCGGTCGTTGGACGGTCTCAAATTGCAAAGTTGATGCTCTAACCAACTGAGCTAACAGGCCTTACGGTAATTGATTGATCTAATCGCTTATGTGTTTAACCAGAATAAAAAGCAAATATATCTTAGTTATTTTAAAATTATTTTAAAAATAATTGTTAAAGATAAATATCTAGGATCTAATTTACAATAATTTAACAATCATATCGATTTTAGTATTAATATGGACATTACATAGATCAAAATAGAAATTATGTGTTTGACATTTTCTAAAATATTACATAACACTATTGATGTACTATTTTTGATAAATTAAATAAATTTTAATGTTCCCCAAACAGCCATTAGATATCATAAAACATTTTATACAGCAAGTATTTGAACGAACTTGGGAAGAAATTCACCTATAAGGCTAATGTGCTCAAATTTTAATTAATTTTGTTCTGATTGGGATATTTATTTCGACCATTAGTTGTACTAATTTGTACCTAATGTATTTAGGATTCTTTCTTTTCTTTTTTCTTGCTGTTGCTAAAATTATTTTTTGTCGAAATAATATGTTTAACATTTATTTCATGTATTTTGTTCTGTAAATGGATCAATTTGTTGGGCAATAAAATTATTTTTATTTTATTAAGCAAAATAATGTTTATTTTGATGCACCTACCACCTTTAAAAGTTTGTCAGTATATTAACGAGAAATCCTATATAATTCCCAAAGAAAAATATTTTTGGAATAAATTCAGAATTCTATTTATTGATATTTGTTATTTTTTAGGTTCAGTGACTCGAAACATGATAATCAGCTACACCAAGAATATCCTTGATACTTTAAAAAAATGGTACGAGATTAAGCAGATTTGATGCTATGTCACATTGTGGTGCGAAGATGTGGCTTGTATAAATTTGGGATATCAGTTGATAGAAAACAGTACGCAAAAATAAATTTAAATCTGCAGATGCATCAGAGATAGCCATATTCCATACCACAATATGTCATGCGTGAACTCGATGAGATTTCATCGGCTAAGTATCATTCCTCTGTAATGTTTTGTATCATTAGGAACACGCAACATTGTAAACAATTATGACCAGGGTTTTCTGACCTTTTCCCTAGGTCAGAGAGAATAAATGAATACTAAATAATGTATAGTAATAAAGATTGAAAATATATATACTTTTAAGAGTTTTATTATGTCAGCCATAGTTTCATACCAAAAATGAAAATAAACTGAAATTATACATTATAAATACATTCATAAATAACTATATAACACTCATCGACTCTCTCCTGGCTAAAATATGACTTATCTATCTATTAGGCTCTGTTCCGTCTATTTTTTGCCTTTAGCCTCCTTCTGACACTTCCATTCGTTCATATTCAGTGTAGTATATGCATAGTTTTCAGAATATCAAGTGTTATACCTATCTGATGCTTGGTCCTGCAAAGTTAATCTTCAGTACACCTGCTTATGTGACATCTATCTCGATGTCAAGTTTGATTGAACACCCGTTTCTTGCCTATTACTCTTATACTTAACCAGAACTAGCTTAGACTTGAACGCATATGTCTAATTCGGCCAAAACACAGCCTTGGTACACAAATATCTATTTTACCGCTGGTTTCATTACAAAAAACTGGAGTAAAGGGTAAAATTATCTCTTGTCCAGTACACTCGTATAATACACTTGAGTATTGCCTATATTATTTTTGATTGAGACGTATACATACATTTAAAAATGTCGTTTACTTAAAAATAAACATTTAATTTTGATATTTTATTTAACTCGATCAAAACATTAAATTATTATTTTCCATGGCTTATACCGGACCTGTATGTACTCTAGTAGCCATGGAGTAGCTGACAGTGTTGCCGTCAGTTGCCGCCACATATTCATTAGTGACATACGTTTTATAAATTCATCATGTTACAAATTTGTTGACATAAAGAGATAGAAATTTAAAGTGACGTCTTTTATTACTTCGAATGAAAAAAATCGATAATGCAATTTTCTAACCTAAAAAAAAATCGTGATGATATGTCAAACACAATTGAACTTGGCCTTAAACGTGTATGGTGCATACGGGCGTCAAGTAATGATTATTAAAATGCCACTAATAGAACTCATACCGTAAATAGTTAGAGGTTGATGAAAAAAAGAAGATTTTGACGTTATTTTAATCATAGACCTTCATTAACTAGTTCAGCAATTAAACAAGTTATTTTTGAAACAATCGTGCAAATGCTCGAAGGCAAAACCGTTGTATGGATGTCTGCACTGTCCGTATTTATAAAAAAATCTCAGCCAGCACTGCGCAGCTTTCTAGATAGCTATTCACTAAGTCATTGGAGCGCTCCCATGGGAGTGCTCCCATATATTTTGCTCTCTTACTCTTAGGTGGGTATATCGTGCTTACTCATTTTTAGCCCAGGTACATGCGTAGTAAGGTCAGATTTTATACTATGGGAGGGAGAATTGCGGGCTTGCCAGATTAGGTCCGTATTTATCACAAAGCAAATTTGAACTACTAAGGGGCCGATTCCACCGTTGAGTTAAACGGAGATTAAAATGACATTGTTAATGTAAAAATGTCATTTTAAACTTCGTTTTACACAACGGTGGATCGATCCTTAAATAGTAGATCAAAGTTATTCTGTCGACTTGGCAACGTTGGCATGGGAGTATGGGAGCATGGGAGTGTGGGAGTGCTCCCATGAGTTAGAGAATAGGTATCCTGAGTGCCTTTTAAAAGGAGATAGAAAACTCCGCCATTTTGAACCCTTATTACGTGTTGCCTACATCTTGGCGCAATATTTTTAATAGGTGCGTTTTAATCATTGATCTGGCAACCTAGGGATACGACATGCGTAATCGGAAAGTGGCACCGGTCCGCCATTACTGTGAGTGCAAATTGTCAAATTTTATAGGTTATATTTTAGTGTCATTTGTGTTAATAAATTTGAATTTAATTTGTATCTGGGCAAATTTTGAGTGTTACAAACTTATAAAGTTTATAATGCCTTGTTGTGTTATATGTTCCTGGTCTAGCGATAGTCGTTTTGTAAAAAATCGACTGGAATAACGTTTCTTAGGTTAGTATCAAAATTATAAATATTATACAGGACAGTATTATGACATGTTTGTATAAAATGTGTAAAAGTATGCATTTAAAAATCCAAAAAAATATCATCTATCAACTTTTGGGCCTACCTATATTGGAATAATACTTTTTCATATGAAATAATATTTATAGATTTCCAGAAAATCCTGAACAACGTAGCGCGTGGATATTTTGTCAACAGGCATAATTTGGAACCTTCTAAATTCAGCTGTGTATGTTCCAAGCATTTTCTTGAAAAGTACATTAATTGTACGCCATGTCGTTTATCAAATTTATAGGCATTTTATTTTCTTATTTTTATTTAAATATAACCTACATTTGCTGCTTCCACCAGTTTTATTTATATTAGTTCTACAGCTGATTGAAAAGTAGAGCTTCATGTTTTGTGTATGCATGAGTATTGTTTGTTTTATTATAGTTAATTTAGAACAATATTAATAGATCTTTTTAATTGCCTATAATGTGTTTCAGATATCACTCATAGATATGGATAAGAAAATATTAAAACTTTATTCTTTGTACACTTTTATTTAATCACAGCACACATTATTTGCATTTACAATATTTGCTTGACTTTTATATGCCCCATTCTGTTTTGTTCACCTTTTCTAGTGGCTTTTTCTGTTAAACTTTGGTCACTATTCTACCTCCAGGTAATGAATTATTCAACCATTTAATCAACAATGAGGTTTTACTTATTTTACAGTAAGTTACTTATCTTTAATATTCAAGTTTTAGAATTTGAACTTGGCTTAGGCCATTTTCATCAATTTTGTTCTTAGAGCTTTTGAAAAACACTTGGGAAGTACTCTCACAAATTTATTTCTTATTTTGCCTAGCGAAGAAATTGTGTAGTATGAAATATTCTGGTTTTTACCTTAGTTGTTAAGAAAAGCGCTTACAGCAGATGATACTTTTCCTAACTCGACAAACATTTATTACCTAGATGTTGGCCTCCTTTTATCACCAGCCTACAATTTCAACTCTTACTTTTAACTTCATCTGTGACTTTAACTATGAGTGAGACTTTAACTTTATCTTCACATTCTTTGTCTGACTTTCAATCATACATGCATGATTATTGTGCATAGACCAATTAAATTGGACAGACACTCTTGTGGTGATGTTGTTACTATGGTAGGCCTTTACATAAGTAGCCATAATCTCTGCAGATGGTGAGAAGCCCAGCTCAAACCAACTACCATATTATCCTCACTGGATCTATAAGTCTCAAGTAAGATCACTTCATATTTTACATTTGTTAGAAGTGCACCTGTACCTACCTGCACATCGCTGGTTGTGGCTTCGCTGATTTACTGAATGTCTTGCATGAAGATACACATCTTTCAGTCTGAATCTACAAGAGTACCAAGACCAAGTAAAATTAATCCACATTTTGATTTCCTGAATAGTGCATCTACCTACACAGAGATTGTTTATTAGCCATTTTACTCGAGCCTTGCATTAAGTTTCGTATCGGATTATCGAACTTTTAGTGTATGAACATTTGTTCTTAATTTCGAGGAAGCTGTTAATTAAAGTAAGGTTACTTTCTGATTTAAAGATAGAAACAAAGCATTGGGTTACGTATAGAGTAAGTGTTCTGTGCTACGTATGTGCCCTAATGAAAAAGTGTTACTACTGATCCAATAAATCGAATTCGCTTTATTTTTTTCGCTTATGTGAACCAAAATGCTATTTATTTTTTCTGTGAATGATTTTAATGCTTTAGGATTATTTTCACCATTGTGTTAAAGTTTAAACAAACTAATTGAAGATTAAAATGGTGGAATCGGCCCCAAGTTAGTTATATCATGATCATTGATTAGTTGCAATTTTGCAAATAATATATTCTCCAGCACTTAATAGTCACACTTAAGTGATAATTAAATCATTTATATTTTATTTCTTTTATTTACTTTATTCAGCACCTCTCGGCTGAAAACCGGGTATATTTAAATCTTTAGACCCCCTTCTTTTGTAACCTTGGCCTTCCACCACCTTTTAAGTCAATGTGTAAGTTTTTATCTATAATAAAGGAAATTAATTTTTTATAGTTCAAATAATGATACTTAACCAGAAATAGTACAATAAAAACTTGTAAATCCGGTTCTGCTCTTCCGCCATTTTAGTGAGTGCAAAAGCCACGCCTACCGGTCCCAATTTTGTATATCAAAAATAATTACATATGACGTATCCTTACGTTGCCAGATCAATGGTTTTAATCATCTGCTTCTGCTTCGGAATTGTCGGTTTTCTTGTTTTAATCTGACAGGTTATTCGAAGTAGTACTCGCCAAGCCTGCCAATTTATGAAGAAATGTATAGGTGGGTTTTTTAAATATTATTTTTATTGTTTGACATAAAATATTTAAATGTGTAATCCATTATTCATGATTTTTCGTAAAGTAGATAGAATACACCATATGTCGCCGCCCTTAGATATACCAAACCTGCCCACTGGTAATTCATTTGTTTGGAATGCCTAATTCCGGAAGCAGAAGCGGATGATTAAAACGCACCTGACATTTTGTTTGCTGCTGTCGGTGTCAGTGAATATTTTTGGAGTCACAGTTTATTACTAAAGAATCAGTTAGCTCACTCGTACCAGTTGAAAGTTCCAAAATAACATTCACTCCAGGGATACAAATTCAGGATACGCAGAAGACTGCTGTTTTATTACAGGCGGTTGTCATATATTGTATTATCTGAGTTGCGCAGTGTATAAACTGGAACATTGAGATAAAAGTGCCGACGCAGAGTGAGCGATCTGATTCTTTAGCTATAAACTGTGTCATAGGGTTCAAAATGGCCGCGCCCCATGTTGGGCTTGTCTGACCTCTCTCTTGCCCCGTATAGTAATCAAATGCCGCGTTTGAGAATCCACATCCGATGCATCTGAGATGTAAAAAATCTTTGATCACGTGATTCAGTATACGTAAACGTAATGGGATAGATGTGTCCGATGTGGATAAAAAAACGCTCGAGATGTAAAAAATGCATCCGATGTGGATTCTCAAACGCAGCAAAAGTATGTGATATTTGCTGATATCCATTTCTAAATTCCAGTGTAACATCGGAACTACCTGGAACTTCAGAGGCGCTGTAACCGAACTTCGATTTTAGTTGAAGGACGAATAACCCAAGTCCGACCCAGCTGAGTTCTGTTTATAAATATTCAGAAGCAGAGGCGCATGTGGCTGTATATCGAGAAGTAACAGTACTCGTTTAAAGAAGAAATGTGTCAGATTCAAAATTTGCCTGGCGGGCTGGATTTTGAGGTTATAATATTAAACGAAAGTTGTATCAATCTGTGATATTTCTTCTGCTAGTTCTTTAAAATATTAGATACTATGGAATGTAAAGTAAGTTTTAAATATACTCAATGTTATATCCTAATTTTTGCTATTTTTAGGGAACCGTAACTAAAGTGGACGCGTATTATGGTTACATTGAAGTAGACAACAAATTTACAATCTATTTAGGTGTGCTTAAGGGATATAACGAAACACTTAATTTACCCGTAATAGGAACTAAAATAAAAGCTACAAATTTACATAAATATGCTACTAGTTATGTAGCTTGTGGAACTACCGTTTTAAAAGGCGATTTTAGCATAGAATACCAACCAAATTTTCTAACGCATTTGATAAAAAAATATGAATTAGGCGTTAGTGATTTAATAGTAGTTAATAAAATTTTAAAGTTATTGCAAACAAATTTGACATTTCAAAATAATGAAATACAAGAGTTGGTTACTGGGTGTTTGTTTGAAACTTTGATAAAAATGCAAGAAAAAGTGCCCCAAGCTAAAGAACGTTGTTTAAATAATGTTATTAGCCATTTAGATGTAATGTCTATAAGTTCTTGTCGGTTTGTTGAGGTAGAAACTGAAAAATTTACTGATTTTCCTACTTGGACGTTTGGAGTTCATTCTAAAATAAAAAGGAACTCATTACTATTTGGTTTTATGTTTATAAACCATCATTATGGTTTCTTGATGTTAAAAGATGCATTTCATAAAATTTTATGCATTGTTACTAATAAAGAGTCAAATATCGACTATTTTGAAAACTCTTATGTGCTTATTAAATATTATACAGTTATTACTGAAGTATTCAAAGAGAGTAAAGTTCCAAATTTAGAATATTTAATTGTTAAGTCTAGAGATATTGTGGTTGTACATTCTTTAGAAAGGAACATTTTATTTGGAAAAAATCCACCAGTTACAGAATTTAAATATAAGAAAGACTTTATTTTGTATAGAAAAAGTACGGTAAGTTTGGACAATATCCATATTAATCAACTTTTGAGAATGACTATCTCTAAATAATGTAATGAAAATGTGCTTCTGATTTATAATGTTCACTATTATCTTTAGGTATGTTTGGGACCAAATGACAAAACCGAAACTTATTTAGAGGTTTTATTAAATAATGATGAAAATAAAAATATGGAGAAAATATTTTTAATATTGCCATTTCACTATACCTCAATCATTTTGTATTTACAAGAAGGATATAAATATAATTTGTATCACAATTGCTCTTTGTAAGTTTTTGTGCTTTATTAATTATATTACACTATGATTCACTTTTCCTGGCCACAACCCTATAGCTCCATTTACTTCTAAATTTTGGAGTTGAAGATACACCCATATTATTTGGTATCAAAAATTTTCAAATTAAATGGTGATTTTTTTTACTCATTTGTAATTTGGACTCTTAAGAATTATCACAAACCCTTTTACACCAGGTTGTGTATACTAGAGCGCTTAAAAAAAAACTATCAATGCTATCTATCTTCTTTTATATCTCTTGTTTCATGTGTGTAAATGCTATACTTTCAAGTTATTGGAAGTCGGCTTCTATTTCTTCGTTTTGTGGTGATTACAATGATATCTTTTTGATCAAATTTAAAGTGACCACCCGTCCCAATTTTAAACCAATTGTCCCAATTTAAAATTTATCCCGATTTTGTCCTGTTTTTATCCGATTTAAGAAAATAAACTATTAATATTTCATTTAAGCCGCCTAAAAATACAATTTTTATGGTGATATGACAATATAATTTTGTATCCTGTACATCATAAAGAAATATTTTTTGTAATAAATTTAAAATATAACCAACTAATTTATTAGGGTTTAGTTTTAATATTTAATAAAAATAATAGAAAAGCTTTTTTGTTATTTGTTAGTATAATGTTTTCATATTGATGTACGTTTAGTGTTTATTTTCTACTCCCCTTCTCTCCATGTTATCGATTTGTCCCACTTTTTACTTTTTAAAATATGGTCACTTTAATCAAAGTTCTTCCATTCTTATTACGTAGCCATACCAACCTTTCTTGGCTTGCCTCTTTCTGTCAACACTTGTATCTATTATTTCCTTCTTCTTCCTCTTTAATTATTAATGTCATATTTCTTAATTTGGGTATATGTTGCAGTTTTGAAATTCGGCATGCTCTTTTTTCAAAGTACATTTTAAAATAATCTTATCTTTTATATCGTCCCTGACCAGCCAAAGTATCGTAAGCGACAATTTTTGCGAAACTGGAATTTTAGTGTTGCCCGAATCGTCTAAGTGAGCTACGTCGACTCAAAAAAATATCGTATGCTACAAAACTCATAAAAAATCAAATTTCTATTCAAAAGTTTGCTATCGTATACTAATACAAATCATAAAATGTTGCTAGCTACAATATTATCAACATTTGTCACTTTGTATCCACCATAATCTTCTTAAAATATCGTAAGCTTATGTCACTTTCATTTTATTCTATAGCTAAAGTTCTAAAATCTTTTAAACATATAGCAGAAAAAACAGTTTTTGTTTCCTGTAAAATTTCTTATATGACGTATACGATACTTTGCCTGGACAGGGATGATATGTCAAATCACAATGATAGAATAATAAATAACTGAAGTTAAAAAAGTCATATCCTTTTTTTTTTCAGAAATGAATCAAATAGGCCTTTCCTCAAAGCAATAGAAACATTAAAAAACTTTATATTAGAAGAACAACGAGCTTATTTCCAAGAACTGGATCATGCCGGTAATCCTGATATATATAAAATAGTTCCAATAACTGAACGTAACAAGTATATGTCTATGAATTTAGGATTATTATGCTTTGAAGGAATAATAACTTCCAGAGGATTTGCCAAAAATTTGTATAATGAAGCTTTTCAGAAAGTCAAAGTGTATGGATTCACTACGCCAGGTAAATATTGAAACCATCTTAGAACATAATTTGTTCTACTATTGCTGTACTAAATTGTATTGCCTATGCTAACTTTATTTCGGAAGCCCTGGAGATGGGGTGTCAGGTAGATGCTGTATATACTGACTTTTCCAAGGCTTTCGATAGAGTGAATCATGAATCGATAATTCATAAACTAAGCAAATTTGGTTTAGGTGGCATACTGTTGCAATGGATTAAAAGTTATCTTCTTAATAGAACTCAAATAATCAAAGTAAAACGTCACAATTCTCATCATTACTCTGTTCCTTCAGGAGTTGTCCAAGGTTCCCATCTGGGACCATTTATTTTAATTTGTTTGTCAACGATGTAATTTCTTACTTTTTTGCAGATGACCTAAATGTTTTCCAAACTGTCAACAACTTTGTAAATGGTACTGATTTACAGTCTGCTATTAATAATTTATACGATTGGTGCAAATACAACGGCATGGATTTAAATGTGGGAAAATTTCACAATATTCCGTTCTCAACAGTCCACTTTATTTGACTACACAATCAACGATCAACTTCTAGATAGTGTTAAACAAATTAAAGATCTTGGAATTATTTTTGACACAACCTTAGCTTTAACCACCATATCTCTTCAGTTATAAGTAAATCTATGAAAATGTTAGGATTTATTTAAAGAGTGATCCGCGACTTCACTGATTTAGCTGCTATTAAAACTCTTTATTGTACTTTAGTTACGAGTCATCTCGATTATTGCTCTTCTATATGGTCCCCACATCATGTTATATACAAATTAAAAAATGATCGTGTTCAGAACAATTTTCTTAGGTACATATCCTTTAAATTACAAACGTTTTATGAATATATTACAATGGAGCAGTTTTTAAAGATATCCCCTCTGGAAACCAGAAAAAAAAACATAGAGACCTGATCTTACTTTTTAATATTGTTAATGGAAGATATGATTGTCCTGAAATTCTATAGAAAATTAATATTTTTGTTCCTACTTGTAATACCAGGCAATCACAAATATTTTATATTCCTTTTTATGACTTTATAGTACTTTTAACAGTTGTATTCCTCGGATACTTAGATTGGCAAACCCTCTGGATAATATAATATTTGATTCTTCTGAAAATAGATTTAAGCACAACATTCAAAATACACCAGTGTAATTTTTAACAGATTGTAACTTAAATGAGCTTGCCCGTAAATAATAATAATAATAATAAAGCGTCTTTATTCATCAAGTTTTAGTATAAGTGTAAATATATACATATATAAGGTAGATGAAAAGGTGAAGTTCAGCTTGTGCTGATTTACAACTTAACCTGTAAATAACATTGAAATATAATATAATAGAGAAAAAATAGTATAAAAAATAAACAGATTTTCAAAACCAAATTCGTTGCATTATATATTTTTTTATGACCATTGCTTATTGAACAAAGATTCTTTTAGGAGTTTCTTGAAATTAAGCAAGTTATATGATTTAAATTCATTTGTAAGTTTATTGTACTCTTTACATGCAACATACGAAAAACATCTTTTAAATAGAGCCGTGTTATCATTCGGTACCACCAAGGTCATTCGATTCCGCATAGGAAATTCATTAATATTGGAAAATGTCTTTAATTTGTTAACTAAATAATCAGGTTTCTGTATGAGTAAAGCTTTGTGAACTTGGGTTAATAAATGCAAAAGGCGATAGTTATTGAAAGTCAACCAACCTGATTCTTTCATTTTATTCGAGATATGATCAAATTTTCGAATTCCATAGGCGAAACGTAGACAGCTATTCTGAATTTTTTGTAAATAAATAAATACAAATTATTTTTGAGGAAAATGGACACATTGTGCATCATCCAGGGGCATATTGAACCTATCTCAACTTGTCAAAACCTGCCGAGAGGTCTCTAGAGGCAGCCATCTTCCCAGCTCATCAAAGTCCTGCAGGTTGTCTGCTCATCAAAAATCTGCTGGTTGTCGCTGGGGCGTGTCTAGGAATAGCCAGCTCTCAGGTCAAAGTCCTGCAGGTTAATAACGGCACCTAGATGCTCCATTTTTGAAAAAGTGGCTTTTACCATCTCCATGGTAAATGCCAGGGTGAAGCTATTCTATCCGCCTGCTCCACGGGGCACATATGAGTTTTATGTTTCTTGATATAGATGTATTTACAATTTATCATCAATATAAAAATTTTAATACTAATTATATTATTAGGGTTAGCACACAGCTCAATTTTGATGTTATCTCCAATGAAACTTTCATAAAGGTTGTTTTACTAGGCTATCTAAATAGGTTATTATTAATAAGCAATCGTTGAAAAAAATTAAGACTAATTGTCGATTTTCGCATTTATAAATGTAAAACGTGGAATTTTTCTGATCTAGGTATTGAAATTCATACTGTAGCCTTCTCAAATGATATGAACGATGGTTTAATTATATACTTATCGAATTGGATAAAAAGGTTGATGCCAATAGGACTCGTACCAGACATGAGGGTCATAGTGAAGAACGTCCTAGCTAATTCGAAATATATTAAACCCACGGTCTTTACATCGTTTGAAATAGTAGCTTATGAGCCCAAAGTTCCATTTCAGACAGTGAATTTGTAAGTAAAATATTTGAATGTTCATAGTTAATATCACAGCCAGTAGTAGTCTTGAAGGGTGTTGATCACCAACCCTTCATAGGTATGTTGTAAACAGAGTTCTGGTCCAGTAATTTAGACTACCTGTTCACCTCAACACCACCTACAACTATACCAATATTTTATGTGGACGCTACTTAGATCCCGATATTATATCCACACTTTTTTACAAAATAAACGTATTTGTAGGTTTGAATATAGCGATTACGATTGGGGTTCTCGCTACTATCTCAGTCTCGGCAACAAAATACCTCAAGGTGTAATAGTGTGGTCGAAGATTCAAAATATCCACATTGTAGAAGTAAAAATGAGCAATCGATGCAAAAACTGTGAAATTTTAATAGAAGTTGCCGGACCCTGTTTATATTGTGACAGCGTGGATAGAGATTTTCAATTTAAGTTAGTGTAAGTATACCAAATTAATTATCTACAGTTCATCCAGCTGTTCTTTACAGAAATATAAAACTTACTTTTATGTAGATTTTATGATTTAAATACCCTGATGACTGATTACACAATCAGTACACTGGTGGGTGAGTGAGGTTTTCCCCACCTATACGACCAGTGGTACTATCAATTATGTATAAGTCGCCTTGGAGCGATACGGCAAATGATAACCATATCTGGCCGACAGTCTTCTTTAGAACTTCAAGGGTTTATTTGTAAGGGGGTGAATTATAGGAAGAGTATTATTATTACTATTATTATTGTAGAACAGAAGGATATACAAAGTAGAGTCTGATAGTAGACCTATGCACATATATACTCTCCATTTTCAAGTTCTAATTTAATTAGCGCCATATATTCTGTGACGTTCCTGTTTGTCATCGTGATTGTCGGTTTGTCAATATAGTTTTGTGTTATTGAGTTTTCGATACTTTTCGGGTGTATTAGGGTCGATATACAAATGGCAGTTTTGTAGTTTAGGGTCCTATTAATGCGCATATCCACTATACTCTACACTGACGTTAAGAATTTGAATTTTACACCTGCCACGTTGCCATACGTCCATGTTTGTTTTTATCTTTTAATTTGGAAGGAAAAGTAAATCTGTTAAAAAAATATATCAAAATAGACTAATTGTATGACAAAAACTCTGATAACTCAAATTTATTTTTACCTTAATTTAAAATATTACTATACGGTATCGGCCAACGAATACCTTCTAATATTTCTTGGCACAAGTGCGTGTGAAAACTACAGAGAGCCAGCAGGAAAGTAACAAAACCAGCGTTGGCATTTATACGACCCGATCGCGTTGTAACGTTCGCCAGGCCGTATAGCCTGGCATCGCCGGTTATTTCTTTCCTGCTTGCTTTCTGTAGTTTTCACACGCTCTTGTGCCAAGGGATATTAGAAGGTCGTTGGCCGATACCATATAACACTGGTAACTATGTAACAATTCCGATTATCAGAACGAGTTGGAACAGTTATAGTGCGGACATTAAACTACAAGAGTACCATGACCTAATTATTTTCTGATTTGAAAATGCAATAGAACTAATGTAAGTAACAATACACTATTTAGACGTCGGACAGGGCAGGCATTGTTTTGTCTTAAATTTTTCCACGTGTTTCATATGAATATTAGTTAGGGCGCGTGTGTAAAGGTCGCTGGAAAGACTGTATAACCTATAATATGCTTAGATGGGGTCTAGGTAAATAAATCCGTAATACAGAAGATCGAAAACAATAGATTAAAAACCAGAAGATCCGAACATGGATATGTTGATTTACCGTAAAATATAGTAAATTATTTCAAGGGATCCAGGTCGTACGGGTTAGGTAAGTTAGTAAGATTTAAAATGATTTTATACGGAAATGTATGAAATGGGAAAAATTTAATCAAGAGTTGCAAGATTTTGTAAGAGTTTCAGTTGATAACAAGACAAAAAATATTACAAAACAATTATATGTGGTATAATTTATAGTTACAACTTCATTGCAATTAGACATAGATGGTGTAAGGAAACTACAAATTTTATAACTTATTTTATGTCTATTTGAGGCAAATCACCTTAGCCCTTGCTAAGGGGGCTAGAACTCTTAAGATGATTTATACCGGCTCATCTAAAAGGGGTATAACGCATTTTTATTCATAAAAGTTTTGCCATTTTGACACAGCAATGAAAAAATTTTGATTTTTATAAAAATGTCCAATTCCCTTCCCAAAAAATGAGCCGCTTTTGACTACGATTAAAAATCATATTTACGCCAGACAATTGGACATCTTATTCCACGAAATAAATAGCTAGCCATACCCGAATGTATTACCTGACGGGACAAATTCGCTATAAAATCGGCGGATCTCGACCTGTCTCTTAACCCACTAACGTGCAGACCGCTCCATCAAACATTATCAAATCCGCTAGTAATTCAGTACAGGGATTCTTATGTTCGAACTCGATACGTTTCATATCGAATAGAAAGAGACATTACATAAGAATCGCAGTCTGTCGAACGAAGATAGGCGTCTAGATACAAGACGTATTAGATGAGAGTCCCACTGCAGATCTGCTCGCTTATCTGACAATTTTTTTTTATTTCTCCGCGAGCCCAGGAAATTTTTATAACGCTGGTCTTTTGCCGCGTTTGAATATCCACATCGGATGCATCCGAGATGTAAATATTTGATCACGTGATTCAGTATACGCTTCGAGCATATATATTTCATAGAGTCCGCATGTAATAGGGTTTGTTTACGTTATGAGGGGAAATGCTTAGATACTATTACCAGTGTCGCATCATTTTTACGGGGTTTGCAATTAATATACATAATAAATTTGATACGTACCTTCAAAATTCTTTAAATTATGCACATATTTTATAAATTTGCATTATTTAAGTAGGTACCTATCTAGTAATAGTAAATAATTATTATTATTAATAATATTATTTCTGTTGGAAACATCAGATTTTTTTTTAATTTAAACATCAGAAAGTGTATAACGGAAAAATAAAGGTTAAAATAATAGGCAATAAAAAAGATAAAAAGCTTATATTTAAAAATCAAAAATATAAATAAATAGTAGTTATATTATACAAATATTTATGATATCTCTTAACAAACGTGTACGAGAATTACAATACAAGAACTTTTTCCAATAATTTATTAAATATAAAAATTTTGTTCGTAGCCAATGTTCAATAGATTACTAAACGATGTACTACAAATATAGAAATCAAGGTAAAGGTACATTTGCACTGCTAGTCGTTAACAAATAAATGAAGCTTCATTTTTATTGGAAAACTGTCTTAATCTTCGATTATTTTTTAATGACTAGGGGTGCAATTAAAAGAAGCTTAAAATGAATTTTTTATTGAAAAACTCACATTAGATTTTGCTTTTTTCTTAACGACTAGTAGTCTACTTAATGAAATAACAGATACATTTATTACAAAATAATTATCAATTTTTGTGGTTTATAAAAAAATCAGGGTTCGGAGGATATATATTAAGTGATATATATCATGATATATATCACGTTATATATCATAATATTTATATCTTGATATATATTCGATAATTTTATTTATTAAATTAAAAATGTTTTACACCATTGTTATTTAGAACATAAGTTTTTGTTAATATGTTTATGTTAAAATTAAAAATATAGTTTGTGCAAGAAACAATACTGTTTTTAATTAAATAATTAAATTTTAAAATTGATATATATCGGATATATATCCGATATATATCAGATATATATCATGTGATATGATATTTATATAAATATGATATTTTCGAACCCTGTAAAAAATATAGGTAGTAATAGGTAATTATTTTAAAATAAAATTTATGTTTTATTAAAAAGTACTTGGTTACTTACATATTTTCTAATTCTGCATTTTCTTTTTCTGCAACAGAGGCTTCATGGTTCAGATCATCACTGAAAAATTAAAAATTTTGAACGATTAAACCACAAGAAAAATGCAGGTTTTTTACCTATTAGATTCATCTTCTGGGGCTTCAGTAAATGCTGATGGCCATGCACCTGGAATTGATCTAGTTCTTCTTCCTCAGCATCCAGTCTTTGACATAAATATATATCCAGAAAAATGATTGGAACATAAAACATGGAATAAGTTTTAATAAATGTTTTACCAAATGCGTTTTTTCAGCATGATTAGCTGAAAACCTACAAAAAACAAAAATTATTGATTTAACATCTTCAATATTATCATGATAAAATGACTTAAAAACAAAAAGCTTCTTTATATTGAAAAATTATGATTATTCTTTTCAAAAACAATGTTCCTCATACATAATACAAGGTCTTTAAATTTAATTCACTAAATTTACCATTTATTTTAAATTCATGTTTAACGGCCTTTTGCATAAAATGTAGGTACAATGTTTCTTTTAAAAAAATGGTAGAGACGCTAATGGTTACTTACTTTTGAAATGCCCTTGACGATGCCTTTTCTTATTTCTATTTACAACTTACACAAACTCTCACCATTGTTAAAATTTGTATCAGTAAACTAATAAAATAAAAAAAAACACGGGTCAAAAATCACTTATAAACTGCAAAAATAAGCTAGAAATTAATAAAAATCAAATGACAGTTCTGACAACTTCGAACAATTTGACATGCCAAGCAAAACGAAACAGGCCAATGGGAATGCTGGACACTATTTTCCCTCTGTACCAAAACAAAGTCCATTTGTACGATGGCTCTAGTAATATATGCTTGAAGAGTATACGTAAATGTAATGGGACAGATGTGTCCGATGTGGATAAACAAACGTTCGAGATGTAAAAAATCCATCGGATGTGGATTTTCAAACGCGGCATTGGCTGCGTTCATCCGCGCCATTTCAAGGAGCGCTACAAAAGTAGCGATCACTTACGCTACCTGATCGATCTTTATGCACGGATGAACCATGTTTAAAAGTGAAATTTGATTGTGGTTTATTTATTTTACTTTTGAGTTGAATGTCTCTGGTTGAAGATTTGTTTGTTTATTTGTGGTTTGTTTATTTTTCAATTGCTAATATAACCCTACTAGTCACCAAGCAAACCGTGGACGTAAGTGCGTAAGACAGATCAGTGATCACCGATCAGCGTAAATAAAATGCGCTACTTTTAATGGCGGCCGCTCTTTGAGCGAAATGTCAAAATACACCGTTCATACGTGCCACTCGAGAGCGCTACCAGATCGATCAGGTAGCATGTGGCGCGGATGAACGCAGCCATTTATATATAACACAAACGTCAACTGTCATGCGAAAAATAAATATTACCAATGCCAGTGGCGGACCATTCAAAAAGCATTCTTAAATTTGAGCACCCTTAAAATATATGTTTGGAAAGAAAAAAATGTTCAAAGTAGGAAAAATTATGTATATCTGAAAGACAGCAGGGCGACCATATGAGTATACTTCGAGATCTGAAAGACAGTGAATCTCATAACTTCAAGAACTACTTGACTGTGGGGGAAATCTGTTAGCCTAGTCTAGTCCATCCATACCTGAGCAAAAATTATATCAGATGAAATTTTTAGCAAAAATCAAGCTCTATAAGAGGACAAAGCTTATTTATTTTGAAAAAATCTAATTAAAATGGAAGGTTAAGAGAGGTTGAAATTAAAAAAAAATCAAATCAAAAACGAAAAGTGATATCAACCTGAACTTTTTAGTAAAAATCATGCTCTATAAGAAGATGAAGCCTATTGATTTTGAAAAAAACGAACAATAATATCAACTTGAAATTTTTAGCAAAAATCATGCTCTATAAGCGGATAAAGTCTATTGATTTAAAAAAAAAATCGGAATAAAATAGGTCAAGGGGGGTTGAAGTAAAAAAAATCTAAATAAAAACCAAAGGCATTAAACATTTAGTAAAAATCAAGGGAATAAATAAACAATAATAATTGGGAGACAAGGGGCATTGAAATAGTGAAAAACAAACTAAATACTGATGAATATGGGGGTGAAGGGGTGTAAAGAGTATAATATGAAATGCCAGGCATTATATATCTTCATTCTAGTATTGAATTTAGACTGGTTACACGACAGCTCCCACCACCGGGACATAGTACGTGTTGTTCAACCCTCCCCTATACCCAATTACAAAACACATGTCAATTTTTGCGGTCATATGAGGGAGTTTTATCACTACAAAAGGAAACCGATGTTGTTATGGCGATATCTTTAAATATCAAACATTATTGGATATGAGTTACGTCAAATTAGCATAAAATAAGCTGTTGAATTTACAGTTTTCTTTTATGGAGAGTTTATGGACTTGTATAATGATAAAAATCAACTAATTTTCGCAACCTGTACGGCCTTGGAGCCATCGATATTTGCTTTTTTCGATCTTCTGTAGGAATTTTCGATCTCTCTTCCTAGAACTGTTTAATTGTTGGAGTATTTTTTTATTCTAGTATGTATACTTCGGATGAGTTTGGTCGTAGCAGGGTTTTCGTCCAAAATCTGAATTTTTTAAGATTGATACTGGATGTACCAGAACAACAATTTTCCGTTTGGTTAAAAGCTTTTGAAAACGTTGGAAATTATTATTTTAGCATATATGAACCAGACAGTCGCGTGTTTAAACTACCTGTAAGTATTAATATTTGTTTTGTTTTTTTTTTTACCAACCAGTTTGCCTTGGCAAAATGAAGAATTTCTTCCTATATCATTTTTTTACGATTATGAGAATAAAATACGAAATTAATGTGTTGTAAATTGTACCATGCATTTTGATCGAAATTATAATTTTAGGTTACTTCCCGGAATTTATTTATAAACACGCTGACAATATTATTGGAAAAGTTTAACAAATCTGTAAGTGACTGTTTCGAGATCAAATGCAGGAAAAAGTATCCCGATATAAAGAAATTACAAAAAATTATATGCCCGCAATGGATCTATCTGGATGGCAGAAAAATTTCGTTTTAACATATTTTATTTTTGTTTATATTTTATTTAAAAAAAAACATTTTTTATTTTTTTATTTTTATAGGACTTTCTCTTCATGACCTGTTGTGGGAGTTATCCTTTCTTTTAGGGTGGTAAGAGATTATGGTAGAGTTTAAGGTTAAGTTACTAAAAAACAACAGCCAAGTGCGACTAGTCGGACTCGCCCATTAAGGGTTCCGCACCATCTTACAAGATTTAATAATATGTAGGACTTTTTAAATACTTGATTAACATCGAGCAAAAAAAGCCAAAAAAAAACATTTTTCTAGTAGGGGAGTCACCTTTAATTTTTAATTTATTTTTATTATTTGTTGTAATAGCGTAAACAGAAATACACATTCTGTTTACCTATTACGGAGATACAGCACGCTGACAGACATACACGGACTGTCCAGGCTTAGTAATAGGGTCCCGTTGGTTACCCTTCGGGTACGGAACCCTAAAAAGAAAAATATTTTTTCCATAATGTTCTTTTTCTTTATATTTTCTTTTGCTAAATGTTCCATGCCGTAATTGGTTTAAAATAAGTAGTGTTAATACATTTAAGCCAGGCGTTGATACAAAGTATCACGCCAGTAGAGCTTTCTCTTTTTTGTACAAAAAAAAAATAACTGAATTTAACCTTGATAATAGAGAGTTATTACAAGTTCACTTAAGGTTAGTCACTATTAGCGCCGCTCTTATTTTGACATCTTAGCATGCGCAGATCACTTACATTCTAGACTGACGTTAATAAAGATTGTGGATGTTTGAGAACTCAGATAGTGGCGACTTTATAGTTTTCGGGTGCGCTCGCCGACATTCGTATCAGTTCGAAGTTTTTTAATATAAAATATTTATTATCGTCATCATCTAAACCTTCTAAAATGGTAATTTCTAATGCCTCTTCCATGGAAGTGGATATGTAAAAAGGAACAAAGTGACAAGATAGTTTTGAGAAAATGAGATTTAAAATTTTTGCAACATAATAAAATCAGGACAAAAAATAAAAAGTTCTAATTGCACTTTATTGCTTTTCAACAATTTAGATTTTTTTTACTTTTGTATATAAAAAATAACCAACATCTTTTCAAGTATATGAACTCATTTTCGGAATTTTGTCGCTTGGTTCCTTTTTGCATATCAACGTCCATATTATGTACTGTTATAAAGAACAAATAGATGAACTGTAATTTAAAATTTTTAAAAAGAGGTTAGAAATATGTATAGGGACAAGGACTCTAATGTCAAAATTTCATGTTTGCAATAAGTCTTATTTAACATGGAATTTATTTGCCTCTAATTATGTTGTCACTAGTGGCTGACGTTATAGAAATTTGCAATATCTTCCTAGTTTTCTCTCAACCTGTGCCTTATATTTAACGTTCGTGAAATAAGTTGGTGGGACAACAATTTTTAAGTATTTTCTCGAAAAAGTAACAACCGAACGTAGGTATTTTATACGTTTTTGAAAACGTGCTTCAAAGAGATTTCATTTGATACCCCATACAATGGCAGCAAAACATATAAAGAAATAGGCCTAAAAAATATAGTGAGCCATTCCTAAACCAACGATGAAATAAAATATCATATATAGGCTATGTGACGTCACCGTAGATGCCTAGAAGGTATAACAACGAAGATACTGAAACATTGGAAATATCGATTCTTACTGGACCGCTCTCGAACATTATTCGGATTGCCATTAACTCTCATAAGACAGTTGAGTAAAGCGAATCGAGCAGAGAGTGTGGAATAAAGACCAAAAAACAGTTGATAATGGTTTGAGAAGTGTATTGTTACGACTGATAAGTGTTTAATTGTTTATAATTGTAGTTGTTTTTTTTTATGTACGCAGCAACTCAATTTAAGCTCTTATAAGTGAAATATCTCTTCGCAGAAAAGAAAAATAACGAGCGAACATCGAGTATATAATGACTGTTGGGAATCAAGACTTTAATTGTAGGCAATAAAAATAAACTTCATTGTATTATTTGTATGCAAGTATTATCAATTCTTAAAGAATATAATGTGAAACGACATTTACACTACGTTTCACGAGAATAAGTTTTACCAGTATGCAGAGAAATGGATTATAAGAAAAAACTAAAACAGCAAACAAATTTTTTGAAAAAGTCTGACACTGATAACAAATGCAGTATTGACGCTTCTCACGAAGTAATGCTGGATATGTCAGAGCGAGAAAACCTTTCAATGATGTAGTGCTTATTAAGAATTGTACAATCAAAATAGCAAAACAATTGAATAAAACAAATTCGAAACGGTATCATTGTCACAACAAACAATTGCAAGTGTAGAGGGTGGGTTACCTCACGGCACTTAGGCCTCAATAGACCTATTGTACTGCCTTCTAAGTTAATAGGCACCTCCTAGCTCGTGCGCCAGCCTACAGATGTAGTTAACAACGTCGCCAAGAGGTGCTTCTCTTATATTAACCCCTTATTAGCCAACTCTCGCCGAACACAAATATTCTAATAAATGATAGCGTCGGGCAATCGTAGAGGATATGCTCGATGGTCTTATCTTCGGACAGCCCCATCCAATAGAGATGCTCCCGTAATTGGCAATGACCAGTCAGAGTGCCTGTGATCAGGCATAAATTCTGTCTAGTCGTAATCAACTACATGTTCGCTGTAGCATTGACAGCCTAACTTTAAAGCTCCCTGACAACTCTGCAGTCTCTTGTTTCATCCTATCTTTCCTTGAATTTCACAAGGGAATGTTCTTTGATTAGGTTTGCCACAAAGTATTTGGTTGGCTGCCTTCTTGGCTAGTGAATCTTAAGGTGACCACATTGTTGATGGATATTTCGGCCAAATATTTGTGATATTCTAGTACTAACTCTGAGTTAATTTGTGGTCTGTTCAGGGTGGAGGTAGTGCTTGTCTGTATAAATGAGCACATTCCTTTCAGTAATATAATTTCTGGAAACTTATTTTGCTGCCATAAGAATCGCCGTGAGCTTATTTTATGTTTAGGAACTGGAGTATAATCCACAACCTGAGCCTTGTTTTGTTTTAGAACCGTCCGTGTAGAAGATATGAATGGGACCTACCTCTCCTGACTTCTCTATTCCAACAGTGCGGAGGAGAGTCACTGTCATCAGAGTCAACCTCCTCGATGTAAATTTTAAGGGGAGTGAGACTAAGAATGACTTCCATAGCTCTGGTTAGTGTCGTTTTCATGGCCGCTGTTATGTTAAGACATGCTGTTCTTTGAATGTGTTCTAGTTTGCCTATATCTGTCAATTTTTGGGTTTACGGTACCCAGACAACTGCCCCGTATGTTAGCATAGGTCGTATGATGGCCGTGTAAGTCCATGCGGCGACTCTGGGAGAGACCCCAGGTGAGCTCCACGGTTCGATGGCATTGTTCGTAAGCAATGTATGATTTTTTTGCTGTTTTCTAGATGTCAGTTCCATGGTAACTTGCTGTCAAAGGAGAGACCTAGGTACTTTACTTCTGTTACAAAGTTTAGTTTTGTGTTTAGGTTTAGGAGCTCTGGCGGTTTTAGTTTCATTTTCATCATTTTTCTTGCCAAAAATTACCATTTCTGCCTTCTTGGGATTAATAGACAGTCCTTACACAACTGTTCTATATTCCTTGTTTGCAGAATGACCAGGTCATCTACATATGCTATTGTGTAGTGACTGTCATTATTGAGGCGGCTGGTGCGGATGTCGAGGACCATGCTCCAGAGTAGAAATGATAGCACTCCTTACTGTGGACATCCCCTCGCAACCAACCTATTATATTGACACTTATGTTTACTACTCGCTTTGAGAGCATGTTATGTATCTATCCACTAACCATCTGTTGAACATTCCTGTTGGTTAATGAGTGTATTATCTTGGAAAAGGTGATTTTATCAAAAGCACCTTCTGTCTATGAAAACACCCAGCTTGGATGTTCCTTATTGTCCAGGATCTCAATCCGGCTAGCAACTAGGTGAAGAGCTAAATCAGTAGATCTGCCTGGGGTGTATGCATATTAATTTGGGTGTAGTGGTGTTGTAATCACCACATCCCCTATGTATCTTTCGCATAACCTGTCCAATGTCTTCTTTTCATGGTATAAACAAGGATACGGATATTTTTGAAGCTGTAAATAAGGTGGTATCAGACTACGGAGGATTTAATCAATGTTCCTGTTTTGCTACTGATGGCGCCAGATCTTTGATAGGAACTGAAATTGAATTTGAAGGACTCAAACAAAACAATATCAACTGTCGTGTAATACATTGCATTGTTCACCAAGAGGCACTATGTGAAAAGCCTTAAGTCAAATGAATGTCATGACAGTGGTTGTTAAATAGCTAATATAAAATTGGGCAATCGTGCTTTGATTCACAGAAAGTTTCGTGACTTTATAGTCGAAATAGATGCTACTACATATGGTGACTTGTTTCTTCACACCGATATTTGTTGGTTAAGCGCTGAAAACTGCTACGCGTCTTCGCTCTACGCAAGGATATTTCCATTTTTTCTTAAAAATAAGTCCGGCACTACGGAAATGGTTAATCAAATTGAATATAGAGAAAACATTTCTATCAACCATTGTATTTTTAACGCACCTGACATCTCACTATAACGAATTAAATTTGAAGATATACTGCTTTCCGCTGAATAAGCCTAATTAATGTGGTCACATGGGTGAATTTAACAATAAAATTAAGCTTTTCCAGTCTTCACTAGTAAAACAAAATTTTTCTTTTTTTCCAAGCTGTAAAGAGCATGAAATGAAGAATTTTAACAGTTTCATTTTTAACTCGTATAAAATACAATGACAAATGCAGATGAATTCGCCGTCAAATCCTTCCCTTTATCCCGTCCCTTACTTCACACCAAATGTCTCCTCACTCCTAGCCTACAACTGCAGCGTATCGATACTGTGGAATCGATGAATATTATATCAATGAATAGCTGTTTTCTACTGTTATATCTGTTTGCAGTTATATCTTTTTTATCAAGGAAAAAGCGA